CATCTACGCCGGGCCCTTCACAAAAACGCAGTCAGCATTTACATGCAATATTTACAAATCTTACAATTGTTCTTATTCTGTATTATTATACAGGATTTATATAGTGCCAACAGCTTGCACATCACGATTTAGGGCTCATTCAGATTAGGGCTGCAGCTAACGATTATTTTCATAATTGATTAGTTACCCGATTTTTTTTTTCAACTAATCGATTGGCTGTATAAAAACAAAATTCGCTCTCTCTCATCGATGAGAATAGTTGCCAACTATTCTCACAATCATCGATTTAGTCGATTAGTTGTTGGAGCTCTAATTCAGATGAGCATGCACGCCCGTAAAATGACCCAATCCTGGATGGGACACAGTGTGCATCCCCATTGCTGACACCTGGACCCACATGGATGTGCAGGCTCAGGTGTGCGTGTGACTGCATGCAAATCACATGCAGCTGTGTCCTCTCAGTGCAGAAAAGGCTGCAGTGCACGATTACATACAGCACCTGTCCCCTCTGGGGTCGGGTCATTTTATGGGCGAGCACACCCACCTGAATGAGCCCACAAGCACATTTACAACACAATTTAAAACATAACAAAAGCAAATAAGTTAAGAGGGCTTTGCATGTAAAGGTGTGCAATAAAAAAAAGTAAGGGGATAGATAGGACAAGAACCAGCAAAGAGCTGAGTCTTGGAGAACAAGGGATTGTAAGGGCGGGTGGTTGACAGTGTCAAAGGCAGCAGAAAAGTCAAACAGTATAAGTATGGTGTAGCAGCCATTAGCTTTAATAGCCAGCAAGTCATTACTGAGCTTTAGTATGTCAACTTATGTGGAGTTTGCGGGCAAAAGCCAGACTGTAAGAGGTCGGAAAGGTGGTCATCAGATAGGTAGTAGCTCAGATACTTGTAGACTAGAGATTCTAGAAGCCTGGAGTTAAACAGGAGCAAGGAGATGGGTCTTAAGTTGTAATACTTAATAAAGGGTGTACTCTTGATGCACATAGCACTACAGAGTTACATGTATAAAAAGATAAAGACACCTGTGCAGATGCAGCTTGCTTTTGGGCTCTCTTTCTCATAGAATCTCCATATGGCTTGTCTGAAAGAGTAGGACTGGGGGGTAGGGGTAAGAGCTCCGTTTGTAAACTGAGCTTGAGCTATTGAGCACTGCCAAAAAAAAAGCTGCCTCAGTAAAGCAGTTAAAGCGGACCTTTACCCCCTTTTCTTACCCTCAGCATGCAGCTCTGCATGGCTATGAAATCATCTTACATTCGTTAAGCATATTTTTCTTTTACTTACAATTATTGTTTTTCTACTTCCTGGTCCTCTTTCTGTGCCTAAGAATTGCATCCTGGGAAGGTTACATCAGCAGAGCATTGCTGGGGAATCTCAATCTGTACGAGATTTCAGGAAACCGCATTTTCCTCCCCTGAAATGATGTGCATGGTCACATGGCCTAGTCTTATATGCCAGAGTCCCGGGAAGTAAAGGGAGATCTAGTAATCTGCCCTTAGTTAAAATGGCCACTGTGAGAAGACCAGTGAAGAAAACAACAACAAGGCACGCACAGAATAAAAAGCCGGCAATTATCTAGAAGCACAGGCAGTCCCCGGGTTAGGAACAAGATAGGGACTATAGGTTTGTTCCGAAGTTGAATTTGTAAGTAAGTTGTAACAGGTACATTTTTTAAGGAACTCCAGGCAAAAATTTTTTTATTAGTATTGGATAGCATAGGGAAGGGTTAAACCCCCTGTAACGTTTGTTTTGCTGTATGTGCCCCTGTTCAGAAGATTTCACCTTGCCTTCTGTCCCTGTGACAATTGGATTTTGAAAAATTTGGATTGTAATGGAAACAAGGATTGGCGATAAAGCTTTAGTGGAGATATCTTTTTCCCATGATCACTCTTACAGGAGTGAATATACCTTCCTAGGGGTAAATTTTCTCTCACTTCCTGGTGTCTCAAGGACAGGAAGTGAGATTAAATCTTTCCAACGAGGATATAGACAGCAGTAAAAACCTCACAGAGACCCGGAAGAGGTGGGCACCCCTCATCTGCACGTCTAACAAGAGCCAACTTCCTGTAATGTACTTCAGTCCTACGAACCAGACCGAAAAAGGCGGGCACTCCTTGTCGGCACGAGCGCGGTAGCATTACAACTACTGAAATACTGCGCGATACACTTTGGCTGCAGCCTGGGACCCCCTGCTGTACAGTAATAGCCTCCGTTTGTAAGTAGGGGTCGCATGCAGGTCAGATGTTTGTAACTCGGGGACTGACTGTTTGCAGATTGTCATTACTAAACATTACTAAACATTACTTAGGTGTATTTGTTGTCATTTCAAAGATAAGGGTATCTCTTTAGGCCTCATGCAAACACAACGCAAGAGCAAAATTGTATATTGCTTATATACACGTATATGCGCGCACTATATGCAATCCTAGAATGCCTAATTCGTAATAGAAATTTTAATGAACTGTATGTATGCACATACATGCGTAAACGCGCGCATGTGCAAGTAAAATACATTGCCCGGGCGCATTTCGGGTCCATTCTGTTTTTTGCGCATCTTTAAGCAGCGCAAATATACGGCTCCATACGTGTGTGTGTGTATGGGGCCATTTATTTGCATATGCTGCATATGGGACAATACGCATTGTACGGTAGTGTGAATGAGCCCTAAAGTATAATTCAGTAAATATGTAAAAAATGGTTAGAATGCCATCGCCTGGCTGAAAAGGTCAATAATTTTAACCAAATAATAATAAATATGCAATTAAGTTCCATAGCGCTGCATATGATTATCCCTTTTCTTTCTTTTACCAAAATGTAATTGTATTTGTTTAGTCCTCATTGCAATGAAAAACACATGTACAAAACCCAATAAAATCCCTTTAATCTTCCTTATAGCAACAACGTCCATTTTCCAGGTTGTCCTTACTGACAAGACAGCCTGGGCACTGTGCACATCATACAAAAGCAAACAGACACCCACTAAGTGCAGAATAAAAACAGTGCTGAACTGAAGGATAAGCTAGAAAAATAAAGCCTTTCAGTAAATGTGTTTCATATGGGGTGTGCAGTAACCTGATCTGATGTGCTCTTCCTGATGACTCTCCACTCAATGCACAGAGAGGGTGGAAATGAATGTAAGATTGGGAAACATAGCTGCCTCTGAGTAAATAAAACTCAATAAACTTCCCTGCCTTGTCATTTCGCTGGGGGCTGTCATGCAGCAGTCTGGTACCAGGATAATTATGTTAATGATGATTCCCTTTTCCCCCCTCTAACTGTGCTGCTATTGACTGTGTTGTACTCATATGCTTTGTGTAACAAGATGATGGGAAAGGCCTTTTTGGCCATGGCTGTCTTTCCTGTCAGCTCAGCTGGAGGGGAAGAATTTACAAATGGATCCAGTATGACTGTAAATGGTTTACACAAGCTGTTCCCCCCCCCCCCCACCT